TGCTTCGATGTTGATCGACACCGGTTCTAGTGTCACGATTGTAAGCGAAGAATTCGCAGACCAGAGTAGTATGGTGCCGGCTGGGGGAGTGAGTATCACATCGGCAACGGGCAACCGTGTCGACATAATTGGAAAATGCGACTTTAGGATAAGAATTGGTGAAAAAAACTGATATTGTGTATAATGCATTTGTTGCTCGGGATTTCCCGTACAATTGTATTCTAGGCTTGGATATTCTGAGAGACTGTGCATGCTATATTGATGTTGCAAATGATTCTTTGTATATAAATGGTGAGTGTATTTCATTTAGTCCTGATGCAAGTTCAGTTAGTGAGAGTGTGCAAGATGCATGTAATTATGAGAACTTGAATGGGATTGAGATAAGTGAGTGTGTTGAGTCTGATGAGAAAGAAATAAGTGATTTCTGTGTATCGAGTGATTTAGATGAAACAGAACGCAAGTCTATTACTAAGGTGCTAGAGAAGTATAGAAAGGTATTTGCTTTCAATGATAACGAGTTAGGGAGGACAGATCTAGTGGAACATTCAATAGATACAGGGGACAGTAAACCTATTCACTTGAGGCCTTATAGGATTCCTCACAGCCAACGGAAATTACTGGAATCTCAGATAGAAACCATGTGCGCTAATGGAATTGTGCGACCATCTAAGAGTCCGTACTCCGCCCCAATCGTTTTGGTGCCGAAGAAAGATGGCAAGGCCCGCATGTGCATTGATTTTCGTAAAATAAATGAAGTCACCAAAAAGGACGTTTACCCTCTCCCTAGGATCGACGAAATGCTAGATGCACTAAATAAGTCCAAGTACTTCAGTGTCTTAGATTTATGTCAAGGGTACCACCAAGTTCCGATTAAGGAAAGTGACAGAGAAAAGACAGCGTTTTCCTTTTTTGGAGGGCATTATGAATATAATTATATGCCGTTCGGACTGTGTAACAGTGCGCCAACATTCCAGAGACTTATGGACTCTGTGCTTTCAGGATTACTGTGGAACACGTGTCTTGTGTATATAGACGACGTAATTGTCTTCTCGGAAACTATTTCCGACCATGTCGAAAGACTCGAGGAAGTGCTAAAACGATTCGAGAATTCGGGGTTAAAGCTAAAAGCGCAGAAGTGTTACTTCGGAAAAACGGAGGTCACGTTCCTTGGACACAAGGTCTCAGCTGAGGGAATATCACCGGACACGGAGAAAGTAAAGTCGATTCACAACTTTCCGAGGCCAACAAATGTGAGTGAACTTAGAAGCTTTCTGGGACTTATCTCGTACTACCGTAAGTTTATAAAAGACTTTGCTAGTAAGGCCGCGCCCTTACACAAGCTCTTAAGGAAAGGTGTTGAATTTATCTGGAACAATAACTGCGATAGTGCTTTTGAATTATTCAAATCGGCCTTGACAAGCTTTCCTATTCTTAGATATCCAGATTTCTCACTCCCTTTTGTCCTGTATACTGATGCATGTGACACTGGTGTAGGTGCAGTACTAGCCCAAGAAGGTCCAGATGGTGAGCGGACAATAGCGTATGCGAGTAGGAGTCTAAAACCAAATGAACAGAACTATGCAGTTATTGAAAAAGAGGCATTAGCCATTGTGTGGAGTGTGAAATACTTTAGACACTATCTATTTGGCCGGAAATTTACTGTGATAACTGACCACAACCCATTACGGTGGCTTATGGACATTAAGAATCCAGCTGGACGCCTAGCACGGTGGTCATTAACTCTTCAAGAGTATGATATAACTATAAAACACCGACCTGGAAAAGCTCATCAAAACGCAGATGCCTTATCTCGAATTCCTGCCGAATCCTCTGTAGCAGCCACCTGTGCTAAGGCAGACACAGATGTAATACCAAAAAGGTCATATCAGGACGTACGCCACCGTCAGAAAAATGACCCTCTCCTAGCAGCTATAATTAACTACTTAGAGAAGGGGGAGTTGCCTGAATTATCCTCAAAGGCCCGTGAAACGGTAATATTATCTGGTGATTATGAACTCGGACACGACGGTCTGCTATACCACCTTTGGCAGCCTGGATCTCATAGACGACGCCAAGCTGTTAGACGCCAAATAGCCATTCCAAGGAGTATGATAGACGAAGTCATGTATGCCTGTCACGACGACCTGACAGCAGGACATCTCTCCTTCCAGAAAACGTATGACAAGGTCCAAGAGAGATTTCACTGGAAGGGGATGTATTCGGATGTAGAGTTCTGGTGTAGATCGTGCGTAGACTGTGCCACCAAGAAATCGCCGAAGAACAGACCAAAGTTCCCACTGAACCCGCTACCAACGGTTAATGGACCATTTGACAGAGTTGCCGTAGATGTTCTTGGACCATTCCCGCCAACCTACAAGTCCAACAAGTACATTATTGTGTTCAGTGACTACCTAACTCGATGGCCCGAGGTATTTGCTGTAAATAATGCAGATGCAGAAACTACTGCACGACTTTTTGTAGAGGAGGTAGTGTGTCGTCATGGAGCGCCTAGAGAACTACTATCAGATAATGGTAAGAACTTTAGATCAAATCTGATAAAGGAAATCTGTAAATTGACAAATACCAGGAAAACCTTTACTACTGCCTACCACCCGGAGACCAACGGCCTAGTAGAACGCTTCAATGGGACACTCACAACGATGTTGTCAATGTATGTGTCTGGACATCAGCGTGACTGGGATACATTTATACCATACATACTGTTCGCATATAGGACCGCTATCCACGAGTCTACAAAGGAGTCACCCTTCTACCTTATGCACTTACGAGATCCTGTTTTACCAATTGAAGCTGCGCTATGCCCACCAACATTCTCATACGCCGTAGCAGATGACTATAAGGAGGAAGCAAAAGTCCGCCTTCAAGAGGCCTACACGCTAGTCAAAGAAAACTTACAAAAATGTCAACAAAACCAGAAGGAACGTCATGACCGGTCAGCAAAAGAGACTCATTATATTAAAGGTGACAAAATATGGTTATTCACACCTACAACTAAACCCGGACTTTCCCCTAAACTTACACACAATTGGCATGGGCCGTACGAGATCATTGAGCGATTATCTGATGTCACCTACAGACTACAGGATCCTGATCACAAATCAAGGACTTTGACAGCGCATGCTAACAGGATGAAGCCGTATCTCGATCCTAATGACCGTCCTGATCACGACTGTATCTCAGACGAGGACGTAGAATATGAAGATGAAACAGTCGACGACAACGGACCGATTGTCAAGGAACTGGATATGATGCGGTCGAGAAACGAGTCAAAACGTTTAGAAAAACATTATTTTGTGCAGTTCGAGAATGGACATACCCAGTGGCTGAGTGAAAACAAAATTAAAGACTTTAGAATTGTGCAAGATTTCATTCAGTCAAAGAAATAACTACTTTTAGTGTATATACGTAGAGTGTGTATATCTAAAATTCTAAAATAAACATTTATATAAAAAAAAATGTAAAGATAAAACTTGAAAATCAAAAGAAAAAGGTAAAACATGAAATGTGTATGCATGTTAAGCTATTTAATTATTTCTGCGTGTATGTGTGTAATAAGGTCACTATCTTCAGTTACTATAAATGTGTGATTCTGGTATAGATAGATAATTGTGTAAACAGTAGATCAAATTGCCATTATCAGTCTACTAATTATATTAGCGTGTCGGGACGCCACACTTAGGAAGGGAGGTATGTCACAGAGCTATCCCCCAAGTTAATTAAATGTAAATAAATGAGAGAGTTAGAAGGTCTGATAAGGTTGCAGGTGCACGACGCAGGCGTTGTAGCCCTGTTTCCCATGGGTGTCATTTTGGAAAAACACCAGAATTGCCTAGGTACAGGGGGCTGCCATCTTGGACACCCAAAGTTGTGCGGAGAAGAAAAGCTGACAGGAGTCCTGATTGGTCATTAAGAGAAAATCTTTGTGGTGGAATTTGACAGTTAAATATAAGTGATAAAAATTATATGTGATATAACAGAATGTGTGAAAAGATATAGGACTTGTAAAGGAAGACTTGAGATGAGGGGTGATATTTTGCTGGACAGTTTCATTCAGTGCGGATCTATACCAGTTGTAAACAGGCCAAAATTTAAAGGAAAAACGCAACGGCACGATATATTTTTCGTGGTGGAATTTTGAAGAAGAGGTGTTGAACTTTCTTTCACAGTGACTGATTTTTTGAATATTGATTATATAAATAAGTGACAGTGATTGGAATTTGTATGGAAGTCTATGGGAAAACATTTGGTGGTGTTTGTCCTATACAGAGGTGACAAGAACCAGTTTATGAGGTAAGTGTAAGAAAATAGTGCATTTTTAGCGCCATTTGTCATTTTGATTACAAAATGGATGCATTTTTTGATAATTTAAAAAAAAAGTTAAATCTTAAAAGTGAGCGGGGCCCCCAGGGGGGCACCTGTGTGTATTGGAGGGGTAGGATTTCCTCTTCTGGCTATGGGTTACAAACTGTTTACTGGCCAGAGGAGGGTAGAAAGGTTGAAAAGGCACACAGAGTTGCCCTTATGGCAGAATGGAAACTGACACGGAGTCAGTTTCCACGTGACAATGTCGAGTGCAGCCACTTATGTCACAATAAGCTTTGTGTGAACCCCCAGCACCTGGTAGTAGAGTCCCACTCTATCAACCAGGAGAGGATTCACTGCCAGTTGCAGGGGCTGTGCAGCAAGTCACACATGCCCTGGTGCATTTTATGTAATTATATTTTAATTACATGTAAATTTCATTTCATTTAGTTAGGGGTTTTGAATAGCTGTGCTCATTTTTTTTGCTTAACTTTTGAGATTTTTGGTCTTTAAATGACTTTGAAAACATCATATTCTTTCTGTAGTTTACTTCCTCCTGATGCTGTTCATAGAGTTTATACAGCTTTTTTCTTTTGATTACTCTAGTATTTCTATATTTTTTTGATTTCTGATATGTTTTTTGCCTTTCATAATTATTTTGAATATTTTTCAGAGATTGACTAACCCTCCCCCCTTCTGGGATGGGGGCACCCACACCAGCACACAAGATCTTTATGGATTCCCCCGGGCCATTATTTGTACTGTGAGCTGCACTGTGCGCCCGACCGTGAAAGTTGCGTGCAAAAGTGACATTCTTAGGCAGTGACCGCCTTAGACGCCTATTGAAGCTCTCCACTTTCTGTGTATTGGTATTAAGAATGGATTTGTCTAGCACTGACGGGGCAAGCCGCCTATTGACACAGGCCTGGAGAATCCTTGCATTGGCCCTGGAGTATGGAATTTTGAAGTTTCCATCAAGGTAAGCACTTTTAGCGAGCCAATTTTTCTTTCCACCCTTGCATACTAAGGAGTGTTTTTTGCATAAGGCATGTTCACCCATGTAGCAGCAAATTATGGCATCACTCACATAGGAGAGTTGCTTCTTAATTTTGCATGCATGACCTGTGCATTTTATTTGTGCCTGATTTATTTCACCAGTGCATCTGTCTGTAAAATCTATAGCAAAGTTATGTAGCAGTTTGATTCTTTCAGCTTTAGTATTTTTGGGCATAATTTTCTGTAAAGATTCATCTTTCTTGATGGCCTTTCTGACATTTTCAGCAAGATGCCGAGTGTCGACAAAATGTCGCGGTTCGTCCGATAGTTTGCCCTCGGCATACAAAGACTCTGCAGCCTTGAATATTGTACTGTCAGGGTCTGACGTAATGTCCTTGACATTTAAATCATTCTCGAGAAGGTCCTCTATGCCCTCTTTGGCCCAGGTGAATTCGTCACCAATGTTTTTGGTCATGGGTATATTTGCCCCACATGTCTGCTCAGTGCACACATGGCTTGGATTGTTCTTGAGGTGCTGTCGCTCAGGACATATTTTGTTTTTGGTCACTAAAGATATTATCTCGTGACTACTGGTCACATCTTCTGCAATTGAGAAGACGGTCTGTGTAGCAGGCTGGAAGGGGGTTTCCCCCACCCCGGAGTAGAGGGAGTTATTATACATCCCATCGCACTGAATTCCTATGTTGTTTGGGTTTGGGGCCCCCCGCAATTTATTAATATTAACTAATTTCTTACATCTTTTTTTCATATCACTCTTATTCAGGGTAACTACTTTTTGCATGACAGTGTTACTTGTCTTTTGTAGTGAAGACTCGGCTGGAGGTGGAGTGTTGGTGGCCATAAAAATTTTGCGCAGAGATGAACTGCCAATGGGGGTTTGACTTAGACCTACTTGTAGGCCATAGTTTATTGTTGCTGCTTTCCTTCCCCTGGAATTGGACTGCACTTCCACATAGAGCTTGTGCATTTCTGAAGTGTAAGGGCACCTGCTGCATTTCAGCCGTAGTCGAGTACCCAGGCCACGCCTCTCCTCAGAGTCCATGTCCCAGGTCAGGTTGCCGTCACATCCAGGGTTGGTCCTCCCATGTTCTTTGAAGGCTGTATTGAACAGCCCACTTGTCTTTTGAAGATGGAGCAGTCTGTGGGAGTCTGAATCACACCTACCGAAACCAGTTTTGTATCTGATCACTTCCTATCCAGGTAAGTTCATTTTCAGAAATTAGAGTTACTCCCCTTAGACTATACTTGTTTTCAGAATTGAGACAAAAGACTCATCACAGTCTGTAGAAACTGGTTTTGTAACTTTTTTCCTCAAATAAATGATCAATTTTAAAGAATGTTATGATAATTTAGAGAATTAATTAATTATGAGTTAATTAAGCTGATTAATTGGACATGATCTTAGGTATACCCCTTATTTCAGGCATATTGGCCTTATATGGGCCTATTCTAATAATTAGAAAATTTATTTACTAATTATAGAGGTTTAATTTCATTATTTATTAAATTTTAAAGAACTGTAGTTAATACCCCATGGATTCGGCCTGCATCAAAGCCTCAGGATTCTCTTTCTTTTTCAGGGGTCTTGGCCGCAGCAACCGGTGGCACCCAGGTCGCAGCATCATTTCCTGTTCCTCACTCACTGAGGGTGGATGTCTCACCAGTTCCAGGGTTTCCCGGTCTACTCTTGTGAATGGTGCAGGTGAGTTTTCTTCTTTGTTAAGTAATTTTCCCTTGTTGTGAGGCACATATTCGGGTTTAAAACCATAATTATTCCCTCTTTTGAATTTTCCCATCTTTGAAACCTGACTGAAAATTTTACTATGGATACTGTGTCTGAAGTGAAATTCACTTGTGATGTGCTTTTTCCATTGCTCTATCAGCATCATGTCAAGTTAAGGTGTTATCGTGCAATAATTTATTATCATGATAGGAATTAGCCAGCAACCCTCACTGCAAAATGTAGGTGTATTGAAGGGGGTAATGACAGTTTTACTGCTACAGAGAAACAACACTACTAGATCAGATTACCTCTCATCTCTTTTGATAACCTTCTCTTAATTGGCTGTCAGCTGCTTAGTGATTTTATTTTGAATTGTAAAATTAAATACATGTTAAAAACATTTTTTCTCAATAATTTGATTTTTTTTGGCTATTTTTTTTAAAACCGGGTACAATATACCCTGAATGTGAAAATTACATGTAATCCCTCAAATCCTCTTGAAAACATAAGAAATAACACTGTTAGTCAGTTAATTACATATTTTATTTCATAATCACTGTAAAAAGTCAATATGAAGTTCACTTTCAATACATCTTCATATCACAGTTGCATTCATTCTGTGTAGGGGGGTTACATTAAATAGATAGTCATAATTTACATGTTTTTACATGTAATTTCTTCAGGTTACATATTTTAAATGTACAATACACATGTTATCTAAAAATGTCAAATTGGCCACTTTTTCACTTTGTTATCCATTTGGTTATAGGAAAAACACCAGAATTGCCTAGGTACAGGGGGCTGCCATCTTGGACACCCAAAGTTGTGCGGAGAAGAAAAGCTGACAGGAGTCCTGATTGGTCATTAAGAGAAAATCTTTGTGGTGGAATTTGACAGTTAAATATAAGTGATAAAAATTATATGTGATATAACAGAATGTGTGAAAAGATATAGGACTTGTAAAGGAAGACTTGAGATGAGGGGTGATATTTTGCTGGACAGTTTCATTCAGTGCGGATCTATACCAGTTGTAAACAGGCCAAAATTTAAAGGAAAAACGCAACGGCACGATATATTTTTCGTGGTGGAATTTTGAAGAAGAGGTGTTGAACTTTCTTTCACAGTGACTGATTTTTTGAATATTGATTATATAAATAAGTGACAGTGATTGGAATTTGTATGGAAGTCTATGGGAAAACATTTGGTGGTGTTTGTCCTATACAGAGGTGACAAGAACCAGTTTATGAGGTAAGTGTAAGAAAATAGTGCATTTTTAGCGCCATTTGTCATTTTGATTACAAAATGGATGCATTTTTTGATAATTTAAAAAAAAAGTTAAATCTTAAAAGTGAGCGGGGCCCCCAGGGGGGCACCTGTGTGTATTGGAGGGGTAGGATTTCCTCTTCTGGCTATGGGTTACAAACTGTTTACTGGCCAGAGGAGGGTAGAAAGGTTGAAAAGGCACACAGAGTTGCCCTTATGGCAGAATGGAAACTGACACGGAGTCAGTTTCCACGTGACAATGTCGAGTGCAGCCACTTATGTCACAATAAGCTTTGTGTGAACCCCCAGCACCTGGTAGTAGAGTCCCACTCTATCAACCAGGAGAGGATTCACTGCCAGTTGCAGGGGCTGTGCAGCAAGTCACACATGCCCTGGTGCATTTTATGTAATTATATTTTAATTACATGTAAATTTCATTTCATTTAGTTAGGGGTTTTGAATAGCTGTGCTCATTTTTTTTGCTTAACTTTTGAGATTTTTGGTCTTTAAATGACTTTGAAAACATCATATTCTTTCTGTAGTTTACTTCCTCCTGATGCTGTTCATAGAGTTTATACAGCTTTTTTCTTTTGATTACTCTAGTATTTCTATATTTTTTTGATTTCTGATATGTTTTTTGCCTTTCATAATTATTTTGAATATTTTTCAGAGATTGACTAACCCTCCCCCCTTCTGGGATGGGGGCACCCACACCAGCACACAAGATCTTTATGGATTCCCCCGGGCCATTATTTGTACTGTGAGCTGCACTGTGCGCCCGACCGTGAAAGTTGCGTGCAAAAGTGACATTCTTAGGCAGTGACCGCCTTAGACGCCTATTGAAGCTCTCCACTTTCTGTGTATTGGTATTAAGAATGGATTTGTCTAGCACTGACGGGGCAAGCCGCCTATTGACACAGGCCTGGAGAATCCTTGCATTGGCCCTGGAGTATGGAATTTTGAAGTTTCCATCAAGGTAAGCACTTTTAGCGAGCCAATTTTTCTTTCCACCCTTGCATACTAAGGAGTGTTTTTTGCATAAGGCATGTTCACCCATGTAGCAGCAAATTATGGCATCACTCACATAGGAGAGTTGCTTCTTAATTTTGCATGCATGACCTGTGCATTTTATTTGTGCCTGATTTATTTCACCAGTGCATCTGTCTGTAAAATCTATAGCAAAGTTATGTAGCAGTTTGATTCTTTCAGCTTTAGTATTTTTGGGCATAATTTTCTGTAAAGATTCATCTTTCTTGATGGCCTTTCTGACATTTTCAGCAAGATGCCGAGTGTCGACAAAATGTCGCGGTTCGTCCGATAGTTTGCCCTCGGCATACAAAGACTCTGCAGCCTTGAATATTGTACTGTCAGGGTCTGACGTAATGTCCTTGACATTTAAATCATTCTCGAGAAGGTCCTCTATGCCCTCTTTGGCCCAGGTGAATTCGTCACCAATGTTTTTGGTCATGGGTATATTTGCCCCACATGTCTGCTCAGTGCACACATGGCTTGGATTGTTCTTGAGGTGCTGTCGCTCAGGACATATTTTGTTTTTGGTCACTAAAGATATTATCTCGTGACTACTGGTCACATCTTCTGCAATTGAGAAGACGGTCTGTGTAGCAGGCTGGAAGGGGGTTTCCCCCACCCCGGAGTAGAGGGAGTTATTATACATCCCATCGCACTGAATTCCTATGTTGTTTGGGTTTGGGGCCCCCCGCAATTTATTAATATTAACTAATTTCTTACATCTTTTTTTCATATCACTCTTATTCAGGGTAACTACTTTTTGCATGACAGTGTTACTTGTCTTTTGTAGTGAAGACTCGGCTGGAGGTGGAGTGTTGGTGGCCATAAAAATTTTGCGCAGAGATGAACTGCCAATGGGGGTTTGACTTAGACCTACTTGTAGGCCATAGTTTATTGTTGCTGCTTTCCTTCCCCTGGAATTGGACTGCACTTCCACATAGAGCTTGTGCATTTCTGAAGTGTAAGGGCACCTGCTGCATTTCAGCCGTAGTCGAGTACCCAGGCCACGCCTCTCCTCAGAGTCCATGTCCCAGGTCAGGTTGCCGTCACATCCAGGGTTGGTCCTCCCATGTTCTTTGAAGGCTGTATTGAACAGCCCACTTGTCTTTTGAAGATGGAGCAGTCTGTGGGAGTCTGAATCACACCTACCGAAACCAGTTTTGTATCTGATCACTTCCTATCCAGGTAAGTTCATTTTCAGAAATTAGAGTTACTCCCCTTAGACTATACTTGTTTTCAGAATTGAGACAAAAGACTCATCACAGTCTGTAGAAACTGGTTTTGTAACTTTTTTCCTCAAATAAATGATCAATTTTAAAGAATGTTATGATAATTTAGAGAATTAATTAATTATGAGTTAATTAAGCTGATTAATTGGACATGATCTTAGGTATACCCCTTATTTCAGGCATATTGGCCTTATATGGGCCTATTCTAATAATTAGAAAATTTATTTACTAATTATAGAGGTTTAATTTCATTATTTATTAAATTTTAAAGAACTGTAGTTAATACCCCATGGATTCGGCCTGCATCAAAGCCTCAGGATTCTCTTTCTTTTTCAGGGGTCTTGGCCGCAGCAACCGGTGGCACCCAGGTCGCAGCATCATTTCCTGTTCCTCACTCACTGAGGGTGGATGTCTCACCAGTTCCAGGGTTTCCCGGTCTACTCTTGTGAATGGTGCAGGTGAGTTTTCTTCTTTGTTAAGTAATTTTCCCTTGTTGTGAGGCACATATTCGGGTTTAAAACCATAATTATTCCCTCTTTTGAATTTTCCCATCTTTGAAACCTGACTGAAAATTTTACTATGGATACTGTGTCTGAAGTGAAATTCACTTGTGATGTGCTTTTTCCATTGCTCTATCAGCATCATGTCAAGTTAAGGTGTTATCGTGCAATAATTTATTATCATGATAGGAATTAGCCAGCAACCCTCACTGCAAAATGTAGGTGTATTGAAGGGGGTAATGACAGTTTTACTGCTACAGAGAAACAACACTACTAGATCAGATTACCTCTCATCTCTTTTGATAACCTTCTCTTAATTGGCTGTCAGCTGCTTAGTGATTTTATTTTGAATTGTAAAATTAAATACATGTTAAAAACATTTTTTCTCAATAATTTGATTTTTTTTGGCTATTTTTTTTAAAACCGGGTACAATATACCCTGAATGTGAAAATTACATGTAATCCCTCAAATCCTCTTGAAAACATAAGAAATAACACTGTTAGTCAGTTAATTACATATTTTATTTCATAATCACTGTAAAAAGTCAATATGAAGTTCACTTTCAATACATCTTCATATCACAGTTGCATTCATTCTGTGTAGGGGGGTTACATTAAATAGATAGTCATAATTTACATGTTTTTACATGTAATTTCTTCAGGTTACATATTTTAAATGTACAATACACATGTTATCTAAAAATGTCAAATTGGCCACTTTTTCACTTTGTTATCCATTTGGTTATAGGAAAAACACCAGAATTGCCTAGGTACAGGGGGCTGCCATCTTGGACACCCAAAGTTGTGCGGAGAAGAAAAGCTGACAGGAGTCCTGATTGGTCATTAAGAGAAAATCTTTGTGGTGGAATTTGACAGTTAAATATAAGTGATAAAAATTATATGTGATATAACAGAATGTGTGAAAAGATATAGGACTTGTAAAGGAAGACTTG